ACCGATCACACATATGTCTGTAAAGAATGGTAAGTAAGAGGAAAGGAAGATAATCAGAAAGCACCTTAAGGGTTCACAGATGCATTTTGATGAGTAGAAATAGTCTTCCACCCACCGAATGGGAGCATAACTTTTTTGGGACTATAATTCCCATTCCTGAGGATTCTGGGAGCTGTAGTCCAAAAAAGGGAAAATTTGCAAGTTCTGCTGCCACCCAACTCTTTCCATCAATGTTTTTGTACAACGGTATCTAGGATTTGGGAAGATTCGTTATGTTTTAGATCAAGGCTTCTAAAATAAGAACATGGCTACGTAGGTCTATGCACCTTGACATATACTTCTTTCAGAGTGATGAATTCCTGCAGGCATTGCAAGGTCACAGGAGCCTTGGATGCATGTGGTTAGGAAGCTGATGACTAAGTGTATGGCATAAAGAGGACGTCTGGGTCATTTCTGGACCTATTTCCAAACAATGCCTGTTTCTATCAGCAGATACTCTACTCCTTGACAGTTATTTTCTGCCCACCAAGACTTTGCTCTCAGCGGCCTGAAGACAGTTAGCAGTTTCTCAGCCCTATGGGCCCGTTTGGGCAGAAAGCACAGCCGTGCCACCTACAGACTGAATCTAGAAAACATGTCCACCTCTAGCACATCCTCTTACAATTTGTACAGTTAATACTTTGTTGAAGCAGCAACTGCCTGAGGGGTTGAACTATACAAACATTGCAAACCATTTCCCTTGGGAAACATCCTTAAACAGGTGGTAGACAAGGCAGAATTGTTACTTTTAATTTAGAATATTGTAGGCCATCTGTAAGATTGAACCCTCCCTCAAACTCCAAAGGCTGGCTGGATTAGTAAATTGCAGCCAAAACAATAAGAGTTCTATGGTGTCTTACAAACTAGATTGTATTGTATACACTGACTTAATGTGGTTTAGATATCTGGCTACAGATAACAATTTCCCACTGTGCCTCCTGTGAGAAGAGCCAGCCTGTGTAGTCAATGGGCAAACTGCATAGTCCCAGGATGCCTCCAGAAGAAGGGAATGGTAAATCACTTCTTTGCATTCTCTACCTAGGAAACTCCGAAAAGGGTTCCAAAAATCAAAATCAGCTAAAGGGAATGCAATTATTATTATTTAATGTAGACTATAACTAACTTCACCAGTACATGGGGTGTTATTCAGAACTTCTGATATATGGGCAGTACATATAATTGGAGTGTGATTCCAAGTTAATTAAGAGGAGAATTATCAGCAGAAAGTAGTAATTTAATGCTATCTGCTTACAAAGTATTTGCTGGGAACATAGAACTCCTTGGTATTAGGTAAGCCAATGAACATGTGATGTGATAAGAAACCACTATTACAGTTCAAGTATCTGGTGATAGACTGCAACTTTCCAAATAACTGTAATTCAGTAGTCTCTCACTTTTATCTCTTCTTCTAATAACCCCTTCATGGTACTTCCAAGACAAAAGTAAAACTAACGATAAATTTCAGCAAAGTAATTGTTGAGTTTGCATAGTTATGAAAGTGAGCAGCAGTGACGTAACTCTGTATTTCACATGCAGGAGTGAGAATTTTGTGGTACGGTCAATACCTTGCACTCAGCATTGTTCACCCAATAAGTCCTGTCTTTTCCCATTGATCTGGGCATGTTCCTTTCATGGTCCTATATTCACCCAACACACGTGATATGACTATTACTTTTTGTAACTTTGGACTTTTATTCTTGCAAGATGTTTAATAATGAAGAATCTATTTGATCTTCCTTATGGGTTGGTTTACACATTCATATATGTCATCCCTTTAAAGCATAACAAAATAATTACTACAAGGTGGTGCTGACAAGTATTGAGTCTTACCCAGAAAAAATTGAGCTAGGAAGCTGAAAATTGCAGGGTGTATTCGCCAATTTGTTTATATTCAATGGTGCAAAAATAAACTACCTATGGTTCTAACTTATCTTTCATGTTCAGGTCCGAAGTTAACAATACAACACCTCCAGAAAAGTTCAATGTGAAAGAGTATAGGACCATAATCAAGCTCCTGTTTCTCAAAAGAAAGGTGCAAAGAGGTTCCTGCAGGCCAAAGAAGTTCCGAGTGCAAAGGTCAGTGCAGAAGCAAACAGCAACAGTTTTTTGGGATAAGAAGTGAGTACTGCTTGTGGACTACCTCCAACAGGGTTCAACCATCAATGCAAAATATTACTGTGCTTTATTGACAAAGCTGAGGCAAAACATCAAGGAAAAACATCGAGGAAAGTTCTCCAAAGGTGTCATTCTGTTGCATGACAATGCCTCGTCACACACTGCAGGTGAAAAAATGGCAAGACTGACCTCCTTAGGCTTTCAAGTGATGCTCCATCCACCCTATTCTCCTGAACTGGCTCCTTCTGACCATTATCTGTTCCCCAAACTCAAAAAACACCTAAAGTGACAACGATTTGGGAGTGTTCTGGAGGCAACTAATGCAGCAAATGAGCGGTTAGATCAGCAGTCGGAAAAATTTTATTTGCAGGGACTTAAGAAGCTGCAAGACAGATGTCGCAAGTGCATTGACTTCCTGGGGGAATATGTAGAATAGTGTGGCAGTCAGCTTCCTAGCTCAGTTTTTTTCTGGGAAAGGGTCAATACTTGTCAGCACCCCCTCATATGTGGGCTGATACTAATTAAACTCAACAAGTGTTCATCTTATTAGAGACAAAAAACAAGAATTGATCTCTCCAGACTTTTTTTATTTTCACAGTGACTCAGTAGCAACTTGGGTAGCAACTAGTATATATGTTATCTTGTTGCTGCCTTTTTTTTTTACTCATCTTCAAATTAAACCCAAGTTCTCATTAGATGCATCTTGTTTGTATTTTTGTGTGTTTGTTCTTTACTTAGGAATGTCTTACTTATAAACCATTAGAAACCTGTGAAGATAGCTATTTTGGTGCAGACCTAATCCACTCTTGGGTTAACAACTATGTCCTATGTGAAAATTTGACTTTCATAGCATCTAAAATAAGACAGCTTTAAAAGAAGGGCTTTGGTACAGACCTTATCCATTCTTACCTGAACAATCGTGGTTTGTGTGGAAATTCTATGACTGCAGACTAAAATATAAATCTTAAATGTAAGTTTTGTTAAAAGCAGTTCTTTGAGGCTCTTTTTGTTTGCTTAACATATATTTTAAACTTGCCTTTCCTTAAGTTTCTCAGGCAGTTTAATTATTAATGCTGTTCTTATTTACAATACAATGTAGTATATTTATCTTTGTACCAGGTATTCATGAAGACTTTGAACAGCATTCAATTGTGTTCATTTCTCTACAATTATTTCTGTAAGATTAAATCATTGTACAGTTCTCTATTACAATATGTTTTCATGTGTGTGTCTATTTTTTATCCTAGTTCTTTGTGACACCTGTATTGACTGGGATAACAGGTATTGTCTATTACAATCTTACAACATCCACAGATACACTAGCAAGAAATATGAAGCCAAGGCAACCTTATGTTCCTTCATTTGGGAATATGTCTACCTGAAATCACTGGCTAACTCTACCACCACCACCACCCTGTCACCGCGGCATCCTACTCCAGGCAAGGCATGTTTTCCGACTGCTTGACACTACCTGTGTCAAATACTGTATATTATATTGGCTTCTAGCTGCCTCTTTCCTGGAAGAATTGCAGTTGAACTCTAATCGCTAAGCCGCAGCTGCCCACATGGAAATCAAACAGACACGAAGCACAAGCATGGGCGGTCACATCCGGCCTCTAACCGCGGGAAAATAAGGGCCCAAAGAGGCGGGGCTGAGTGATGTCATCTGCCTCTGATTTGGAGGGCGGGTTGCCCAAGATTAAGATGGACCTGAAGCCAAAGCCGTTTCCCGGGCGAGAAATGTCTTCCCAGCAGAATTGTATTTACTGCGTTCATGTATAGCTGGAAGATTAATTTCAACCCCAGTCTTTGCTTGTACGGCAAAAGAACCTCATATAATATACAGTTGTGAAAAAATATGGGAGGTTAAAAAAGTGGGCCACCAATAATGTTATTACGTACCATCAAGCCGCTTCAGATTGATAGCGACTATATATTTATGACCACTATCCTATTAACATGGCAAATGAAAAGCGGTGGAGTTTTCTACATAGTCAATCAATCCCTTGCATGTTCGATCTCCTTTTCCTACAATCTTCAACTTTCCCATTATTGCCTTTTCCATTAAGTCTTGTCGTCTCACATGTCCAGAACACGACAGCCTCCCTTTAGTCATTCAGTTTCTCGTAAGAATTCAGCCTTTTACGGTGTTTTGCACTGAAACATCAGCAACAGTATTTCAAGGCACGGAACAAAATTATAGCCTATCTCACCGAATCTGCAAATGAACATCCACGGAACTTAGGATATAGGGAGCCTGTGTAGCAAAGCAATTCCACATAAATTTACCTGGATATTACCTGGATTTGCAGCCTTACATCTTGGATTTTGGATGTGCTACTAGCAGTAGAAGGCATTGTTTTAACATGAATTCTCCCTGTTTAGCTAACATTTGCCTATACAGTATCTACGTAGTTCCTATAAATGTTATCATTGCACTGCGGTAATGATACAGCGGCTGATGAGCTATTGCTGTTAAAAAAAGTAACCAATCTTTAAATACGCAGTCTTTAAATAAATGCAGTTTTAAAAAATTCCCCATCACTTTTGACAAATATATCCAGAACGTGAGCCTGAATAACAGATCCCTCACATCTCGCCCAATTTTTTTTCTTACTGTAAAAAGACCTATTGTAGAGAAACGATGAAACAAAGCTTTTAAAAATTGTACGCTTCTGACTATTAAGTACAGTACGAGGCAATTCGAGCAATGACTATAGTAAAAAACCTACAAAGTCCATGATGCCCCGTGGAAAACAAAACCTCCAGCATGCACTAGGTGAGAAGCCTCCTCCCCTTCCGGTCCCTGTTCCTTTGCATTCTGGGATACATAGTTCGATAGTGCCGGCCGGGTTTCTAAAGCTATTTGCTAGGAGGTGCCAAGATGGCGGCACTGTGGGGCGGCGGCGCGGGACATTCCGGGGCTGGGGGTACTCTCCCGCTGCGAGGTGGCTCAGAGACGGTCGTGGGCAGTGGCATGGCTTCCACTCAGGTATTGGCCGGGCCCACTCAGAGTGGGAAAAGAGTTGAGGGGAGTTCGGCCGCCGGACCAGCTGGCGCTGGGTGGACACGTGGAGGCGGCATGGCCGGCATGTAGGGATGTGGCACTGGCCGGCAGGACCGGGAAGGCGGGCTGGCGGGGGCTTTGGAGCTAGGCTGTTTGCGGGTGTTGATGGATAACTGGAGCTGAATAGGCACGGGGGGTCTTGAGGGCGGTGTTTTTCTTCGGAATCGTCTTGTCTTGGCTGTTGTATGTATTCAGCGGAGCATTTGATCCGAGCTTGGCGCAGCTGCCCGTGATGGACTCCAGGGAGCTGAGGAGACTCGTCGGTGAGCGCGGAGGGCGCGGTGGTGTTTGATGTTCGCCGATCGGAGCAAATATTTAGGGCTGCGCCTCGGGAATTGGGGGTGGAGGGGGATCGGAGGTTATTTATAATGAGGCCTCCCGCTGCCGAGACAGTAGGCACGAAAGGTCTTCCACCCAGGATGATTCGGGCGTTATTAAACTTGGCAGGGGCTCTCAAACCTGTGGCCCACTGAGCCACGCTGGAACTTGGTCTGAATGGAGAAAGGGCACCGTTTCTGATCCGGCTCGGGGCCCCTCGGTTGGAGGCAAAGGAGAAGCTGCCGGTGGGGCTCACGTCGCAGCATATGCTTCTCCTCGAGACTGGGCGATGGATGCTCTTCTGGGGGAGGCTGGACCACTTAGTTATGTCCAGATGGAGGGTTTATAAAGGGTTTCCTTTCATTCCTTGTTGGGTTACTGAACATTCCCCTCTTATGTAAATTAAAACAGTTGCAGAAGTTTTGATTCGTTCTCTGGCCTGGCGGTAGAAGAGGAGGGGGGGTGAGATAGATGAAAGTGCCCCTGGGGAGAAGAGGACAGACTGGAGAATGTTCTGTCATGTAAAACTGGATCCCGACGCTTTTGCCTCCCCCAACTCCTCCCTCCTTGCCCCATCTCCCCTTTCATTCCTGGGTGTGTCCGTATCCTCCCGCTGGCTGATCCAGTTCAGACCTATTTGATGATGCTGTCTTTTCAGCCTTTCTGATTTTCATAGAAGAGGGCACTTTGTGTCTTTGACTGTCTTCTATCACATGGCCCTTTTCCCGTTTCCTGAATCTGATTCTATCAGCATCCTTAGAATCCCTTGGTTTAAAAAAAAAAGTAGAAAGGCTTTCGATTCTAGAAAGCATTTTTTTTTTAAAAAAAAAGCCATTTAGGAGTGTTGAAAGTGTGCACTCTTGTTAGGAATTATAAATAACACTCATGTGTATGTGGGCCATTTTGCAGTCTGCTTGTAAGAGAGCCTGCTAGGGTTCCTGTTGGACTTCTCTATTTCAGTTTCTTCCTAGTCTGTTTCTAGTATGAGATGACTGAACCAAGTGTATAACTGTAGACTGTGTCTCAAATGTGAAAAAAACAAAATAAGTTCTTTGGTGTCTCAGTTCATGGCGTAAAAAGGAAAACAGGAAAAATGATTTTGTGAAACTAGACGTCTGTTGCAGTTGGTGGTGAGCAGGAGTATCATTTGTTTCCTTTGCTAGAACAATAGCTGATTCTGCCTTTTAAGTTTCTATCCATAAGATTGAATCGGGATTCAAGTCTGGCTTTGAATAACTAAAATTATACTTCTCAAGATATATCTTGGTCAGCTGCTTGTTTTTCCCACGGACATCTTTAATTTGCAGTGCCAGAAGCAGATGAATATGTAAATTATTTCTAAGCACAGTTATAAGTGTCACTTACTACTCTCCCACATTTGTTGTGTCTAGTAGAAAGGGTAGGTGTCCATGTGAGAATGGCCATGGAGGGCACACTGCTAAACTGAAACTTGTAATGATAAGATGGATGTGGCAGAAGCAACCAAGTTTGTAAATTGAATTGTGACAACAGAATTTGGGTTTCAGAACTTTGGGCTTTTGGAAAGACTTTTTGGTAATATGAAAAAAGGAGGTTGAGTTCATTCCTCTGTTATAGCTTGCAGTGAAGAAAGGAAACATTTTAGTATTTGGGGGACTTTGTAAGAAAAGATCTAATCTAGTTTCCACTTTGAGTTATGTGTCCTGTTAGTGATGTTCCTCATGCTTTCTTCATGTTGTTGCTACCCTTTATCATTTTCTGAAGTACAATATAGATGCACTAAGTAATCACTAGACAGGAGAGTTTATGGTCTTCTATATAGTAGAAAGCTGCAACCCTGATCAGCATGATGGATGGTCAGGGATGATGGGGGTTGCAGTCCTGCAATATCTGAAGGGCCCCATATTTCCTGATCTGGACATACAGAGCAAGATCATAGGCAAAGGCACTTGCCCTTTACTATTCTTTTTTCCCTGTGTGGTTGAGAAGATGAATAGTGCCTGGTTCTGGCTATGTAGTGATGAGCAGAGAGAAGTCCAAGACCTATAGGAGTTTATTTCACCTTGTCTAAATCTTATTTCCAAGCTTAGTAGGAAGTTCTCTAGTATGGGACAAGCTTTCTGTGCTGTCTATTCTTTATTTAAAAAATAGAGTAATATTGCATCTTTGTATTAGAGATGTGTATGGTGAAAACATGACTAGCTAATGGGATAATGTAAGGGAGAATTGTGACTGAGAGAGAAGACCAAAGCATGCTCCCAGGTATTTATGGACTGCTGCCAAATCTTTGCAATTAGAATTTGCTGTAGAAAAGCCAAGTAATTTTAGTTGTGTGTCTAGGGAGGGAAGCAGCTAAACATGCTTTTGGGTGGAGCTTACTGTCTAGATTGTCTGTCTGCTTTGCTGACTCAGAGCTTGGATAGAATTCATTATGATTAATTTACTGTTCCAGATCTGTTAAAATTACTATGATAAATTTACAACTTATTGTTTTAACACTTTTAAAATTAGTATTAGTGGCATTTAAAGTTATGATTAACATTTCACATTATGTTAACTTTAATATATTTGTACTAAAGTCATACCCTACATACCACCCTGCTTCATTGAAGAGCTAATCTTAATAAAAACTATTTATGACTTGTCCTGGTGGAGTTAATAGTATTGACAGCATCAGGAACAACACCTTAGAATCATGGTGTTGAAATGAGCCAGATATCAAACTAATCTGGTACTTGCTGTAAGATGTATTAATGCTGGGGTGCTTCCAGTAGTTTTACACATAGAAATAATCAAACTAATCTGGTACTTGCTGTAAAGGAAGATGTATTAATGCTGGGGTGCTTCCAGTAGTTTTACACATAGAAATCTGAGTGAGAGAATAGCTTCCTTTATAAAGAAGACATTTAGGACAGATTGGAAATCATAATGTTAGACATTTGAATAATTGGCTTAGAATCAAAGCTGAAGGATACAGAAGCTTGATTGTTAGCAAACATTTGATGGTGATGTTTTAGCCATTTCAAAAATGCAAAGGGGTGCCTTAGCATTGAGAAGTACATTCTGAGGAAAGAAAATATGTAAGTTAGTCCCACAGATCTTAGAGTTTGAAGATTTAGCATTGAGGAAAGAAAATGTTAGTCCCACAGATCTTAGAGTTTGAAGAAATAGTGATATTTGCTTCTAAATCTATCAGGTTAAACTAAAGCATGAGTGTTACATGAGAGAGTAATGAGAGAGTAATGAAGCAGGTATGTATATTTGTGAGCATATGGTTCTGTTCTATAACTCAAATGCGACTTGGCAGCCTGTAGCAACAAAAAAACTTTTACTATTCACAGCAAGGAACATTTACTAGCATGGCAGAACAACCACCACAGTAGATGTTCCTTGGTGTGAATATTAAAATATTTGGTTGTTGTGGGTTTTTCGGGCTCTTTGGCCACAAGCTGGACATGAAATTCTATTTCACAATAATGAAACTACTGAACTGCTGGACAATACAAGCAATCATTATGTTAGACTGCACAGGGAAGCCATTGAAATCCACAAACATCAGAAGAACTTCAACAAAAAAGAGGAAAGTTCGAAACTCAACAAAACTTGGCTCCCAGCATTGAAAAAGACAGCATGCAAAAGGTCAACGAATTCTACCCAGCCACAAGGACTGGTGATCACTACACAGAAAAGACCAGCTAACAACACCTATCGATCACAGTGACAGATAATCTCTCCTCCTTATTACAACAACACACCCACAACAAGGACACACTGATCACCATCATCACCCATCTCCTGAAAAGGACAAAAGCTGATCTCGCAGCCATAAATACTCAGCTCCCTGACAAACTGCACCAGAGCAGAGTGTTGTCCTCTGAAGATGCCGGCCACAGAGACTGGTGAAACGTTAGGAAGAACAACCTTCAGAACCCGGCCGAACAGCCCGAAAAACCCACAACAACCATTAGATCCCAGCCATGAAAGCCTTCGCGAATACATTAAAATATTTGTTGTTGTGTACTGTCAAGTCACATTTGACTTACGGCAAACCTACTAGGGTTTCAAGGTATGCCATATCTTTTAAGTACAGTAGTGGTTTTACTACCACCACTCCAGCAAGTTTCCATGGCCATGGAAGGATTTGGACGTAGAACTTCCAAATCCTAGTCTGAGACACTACTCAGTGCACCACAATTGCTCTCACTAAGATTTTCATCTGCCATAATTTGTAAAGTTGTACTTATAGAAATATTAATGGATTTTTTTTCTTTTGTGCTTGATGTTGAGTGATAAGGAGAATTCCTTCTTGGCTGTGGCAAAAAAACCACTACTAAAGTGTAGCAATCTCCTATTGGAGGTGGACAACAAGAGTGGTTATGTGCATGTTCTGCTAGTTTGTGGGACAGCTTGTTAAAAGTGTTTTTTCATGTTTTGAGTGTGGCTGTTTTCAATTGTCCATGTCCATATTACTTTGTCCTGTAGATTCCCTTGCAGAATTTTTTCCCAAGTAGTGGAGGCTCTAGCAGCTGTTTTGGAACCTGGAATTCCCATTATGTGATTGTGCTCTGTCAGAGCCTTTAGTAGAAGCAGGATTTGCCAATCAGCCAGATTCCTGTCCAAATATGTTGGTTCAGCAACCAAAGAACATCTGCCAGGCCAGGATAGGTGGCTCCTCCCAGAAGATCATGCATGTGTGTTTGCCTGCTGACTAAGCCAGTACTGAATTGAGGAATGCTGCCTGCTTGCTTGTGTAGCTTCCATAGAAGCCACAGTAGAGAAATGGATACAGCATTTGTGAATTGCTTTCTTGCTAGCTCCTCCTGATTTTGCTGTTTCCTTGAAATATTTTTTATTTATTTAATGTAATTACTTTGCATTGACTCCTCTGGAACATTTAATTGTTTCTCCTGCGTATTTCTAGCCCTTTGGAAACAAGTAGGACCTCAACTTTGCCGTCCCTTTCCAATAAATGTCCTTTCCCCCAATATTGTAGTGATCATATGAGGATGCGATAGCTGACACTGGTTGCAATGTTTGTGAGTCTGCTCTTCAAAAATGGGAGTTGTCTAGGATGACTGGTGAAACTATTGCCTGCATCCACAGCTGCATTCAGGGCTGTATTTCTCTTTGAAGTTCTGGTCTGAAAGCTGCTCATGTGACTGACTGGGGGAGATTCCTTACTGTGCGCTAATCAGTACTGTAGAAGGTCATGAGAACAGAAAGTAGAAATGAAAATGAGCACAGGATAACATCTGGAGTGTTGGGGAGTAAGGCAAGGATGATTCTTGTGGTTGTCCTATCACTCTGATAAAACAGCTATTCAAATGAAAGTCAGTTTGGCACCCTTTTTGTTTTTTTGGATATAGGATTCTATCCACTCTTAATTGGAAACATCTGGAGAGTATTTTTTGCTTACTCCTAGGGGGAAAATGAACTATTTATTTTCAGGAGCTAGTTAAATACAGCAGCCTGGTAACTTCTTGTACTTCAGAAATTCTGCATTATTTCCTCTAGTGAGAAACCCACTCTTCAGATGCATGATAGCATTAAAGATCATATTGTATTATTTGTTTTTTTTTTACTTACAATATTTATGTAGACCACTCAGTAACAATGTTCTTTGCACTGCTCACAGATATAAAATACTGAAATACAATATCTAGAATTTGCAGGTGGGTAAAATTAACCAGAATAGCTTGAGTAAGAAAGCACGTGATGGACAAAAATAGGAGATGAAAATTTACATCTTTAAGACCACTGCTTTTAATGGGTATTTGCTTTGTATTGATCCTTTTCAATAGAAGCAATGATGCACAAACCTGTCCACAAACATAGTTAGCTAGCTTACTTCTCTTTACTGCCTTAGACTGACTGATAATGTGCTTGCTGGTGTTGAGTATTATGCATGAGGCATGTCACTGTTCAGCCTAGGCTAGTGGTGGAGCATTTGGGCTTATGATAGGAGAACCTCCTATCTACGAGTTAGGTATTCTGCTTATTTAGACAAGTGGGAAAGATGAGGGCAGTTACACTGGTTTGAATTAGGGTTGGTCTTTTAGGAAGAACCTAACTTATTGGCCTAGCTTTATCCACTCATATCAAACAATTCTTTTTACCTGCTTTTCTTCCCCCCTCCCTCTTTCTCAAGTACTTACTGGCAGAGGATTTGCATTTGGCATCTTTGGAAGCAGAATCCATCCTTGAAGCAGGGGAGTTCCTGGAAACAATGCAGGACTACTTAGACTCTTCTGTCATCTCTATCATTGAGGATTTCAGCAGTCTGAATGAGGTACGGCATGCTGTGAACACTGTGAGAGGAATGGGTGTCCATGTACTCCTTGGCATGGCAGCCAGTGTGAAACCATCAGTGAAGGAAATGAACATTTAGCTTCTGTTGACAACATTGTGAGCTGCTCTAATCTGTAGCAACTCTCTGCTTTCATCAGTTTGTATGCCTTTGCATCTTTTGTACATTGGGTTGGCAGATAAGTATTGGGAAGTTCTGTGAGGTGAAAAAGTCTATACCCTTGAATATTCAGAGGCCTATTTAAGCCCTTTCTTATTTAGTTTCGTGGTGAAGAGATATTGATGTTGGGCTGTCTTCCCTTTCTTCCCTGATTTTATCAGTAGCCATAAGAGCAAATAGCAAAGAGCTGTGGAGAGAAATGAGGGTAGTTTCCCCTTGTACATCCGCAACTTTAGATGAAGCAGAGAAATCCATGGATTAGTTCTTGTTAAATTACCATATACAGTCATGTGCCAGGGAAGCGCAATGCCAGCTATTCTAAAGGTCCTAATTCATGCACCCAACTTCAGATTCATAGTACTAGAATCAGTTAGGATAGCTGTGGGTGCTGTAGATTTTGACTCAACTAACCTGTCCCAATCTGTTGTCCTTCAGATGTGTTGGACTGTGGCAGGAGCTGTAGTCCCACCCTTCTGGATGATGTTAGAGTTGAGGTGATTTGCCATAGACAGTCCAGGGTTTGTATGCTCAGTTCTGAGGATCCTTGAGTCTACAAGTATCTAAAACAATTCTGGTATTTTGCAGTTCTGATTTAAGCTGTGTTCAATCATTTCTTTATTTAAATCTTATACAAAATGATATTTAAAATACAGTGGTGCCCCGCTAGACGCTTACCCCGGTAGATTATGAAATTGCTTCACGATGAGTATTTTACTATCGCTATTGCGATTGCAAAATGATGTTTAGATGGGGAAAATCTGCTTGACGATGATCGGTTCCCTGCTTCAGGAACCGATGATTTTTCAAAACAGCTGATCATCGGGTTTCAAAATGGCCGCCCGCTCACTTTACAGGCACTGGAAAATGGCCGCCCTATGGAGGATCTTCGCTTTACAATAAGGTATTTTGCCCATTGGAACGCATTGAGTGGTTTTCAGTGCATTTCAATGGGCTTTTTACTTTCGCTTGACGACAATTTCGTTCTACAGCAATTTTGCTGGAGCGGATTATCATCATCAAGCGGGGCACCACTATATTAAATAAATAATGTTATTTAAAATATTACATAAAAATAATAATTTCTTCAGCCTGTTTATTTACTTGATTTATTTTTGTACTCTGTATTTTAGAAATCAGTCATTGATATATCTGCCACTTCCTTTTTAAAAAATGTACTCTGGTGAAATTTACTCTGACATCCTTTTGTTTTCAGCATATGCTGAGTGAGTTTTCTACATCTGGTTTTATTTTTTACTCCTAACAACAGGCAAAAACTTGCACAGATGCGGAGAATGAGCTTTCCCTGTTGACTGCAATCACAGAGATTCTGGACAGCACAGATGATGAATCTCTATCTCCTTTTGACACCATTCCTGATTCTGAATTACTGACATCTCCCAGGGAGCGTGAAAACTCTTCGGTAAATTACGATTTTTGGTCTAATTTATGAGGCAAAAGATCTTCCTTCTCTCTCATGAATGGATGGTTTAAATGCTTAGTTTCCCGAAGGGCCTCTCTGCTTAAGAATTGTAACCGACTCTAGTAAGTGAATGTTAAAAGAGTATAACGTTTGTTTTGCCTTTGTGATTTGGAGTGTTTGTACCATGACAGGGCCTGTCCCTTCTGATGTGCCTAGAATGAATGTGGTATATATTTTTCCCCAGCCAAAGGACAGTGGACTTTGAGTGACATTAGCACCATTTTCCTTCAGCCTGAACCTGCCTCCTGTAGGTGCTGCATGCACCGCTTGGCATTTTAAATTCTTTATTTCCCTGGATCATTACCTTCTATGTTCACTGCCACTGACACGCTGGTTATGCCTGAGCAACAGCTTCCAGTTTTGGTTCTTATGTTTTTATGGACAAGTTCACAGTTCTATGAGAATACTAACTCATTTTTTTCCTTTTGAGAACCGAGGATCTTTTATGAACTCAGAATTTCATGTTCCTTTCACAATTGCATTGTTGCTGTGTCCTGACATAGATACCATCTTGTCCTGGCTAACACAAAAATGTTTCTTTTTGGTGGGTATGTGCGGTCAGTTCACAAAATCCTGACAAGGATCCCTCTTGTGATTTCACTCTTCAACAGTCCTAAGCCAGCTGAGGACTCTGCAGGGTCAGGATGCCCTCTGGTGGGCATCTCCAGCTTTTTAATTGGGAGTTGTAGCACTAAGAAGTGTATTTTGTATTTCGCTGAAGACATGTAGAGGTGCTGAATTTGCCTTGAAGAGCTTGGAATCACCATTTATGGGATGCTCCAATCAGTCTTTGTATGGTTGATACCTTAGGAAGCTCAGGCTCTACTAATAGAGTCCAGCTGTGGTGCACCCAAGTTCAAGATTGGGCAGTACGTTTGTTGGATAACTAAAAAGTTACAGTACAATTAGATGAACTTCTAATTGTGCTGTACAGAATTTCACGGTGACATTATTCTTAAACTCACTCCCAATTTCCAAACTGTTCTCCATTTGTCAGTTTCAAAGGTTTCTTGGAGTACCTGTAACATCACCAGAGAAAGACTTAAACACCAAGGAGGATTTCCTGGAGCCTAAACTTTGCAGCATCATGACAGAGAAGGTGAGGTGGTGTTGTCAAAAATAAACAATGAAGTGGGTCATGCTATGTAACGTTTCTGGTTTGTATCTTTGTGCAAATATCTGCCTTGCAACTTAGTTAATTTTTTCTTGAGCAAGTATGATGATTGACACCCTTTTTACATATGTCCTGCTAAATTCAGGGGAAACAGATGGGATCTGAGTTCTGATAGAAGCAAGGAAGGGTTACATTAGTACAGCCCTATCTAGCAGATGCAACCCAATTGTTCCACTAATCATTTCCATATTAAAAATCTTCCCAGGTCAATTTCAGCCTTTTTTTTCATAAGTTCATGAACCTACAGCCTTAGTAAGTTAAATAGAACTGAATATTTGTGTATTATGAAAAAAAAATGCAAAACAGTAAATAAGACTTGAGGATGTGAAAAAGTATTTGCTAAAGATCAAGAGCCTAATTCTATTTTATGTTATAATTCACTAGTGATACTATAATCCACCAAAGGAAGGCTTTTTTGATTTGTTTTGATACCCTTTGATTTGTATTCCTTCATTAAGCAGGGATTGGACTTGATAGCTTTATACTGGCTTCCTTCAACTTCATGATTCTATGATTCTTGTTTCTAATAGCCCCTCTAATTTGTTTCTAGTCTTTCTTAGCTCCTCTCTTTCTTCATGTTTTGAACACTTCTTGACCACTGTCAGTTTTATAAAACCCTGCTTTCCAAAATGCTGTGCTCCATCTCCCTCCAAAAACAATGTAGGGTCACAGGCCTTACACACAGAACTGCATGTGAATTGGAGATATATCTCTTCTTGAAATACTTTCTGCCCTGTGGTTTTTTGAGGCTTCACTGCAGGTTTTTGAAGATAACTATGAATGACCCAAAGAATTCCAGCAATGACTATCCTTTATGCATCAGCCTTTCTAGTCAACGGAAATCTGTAGTTGGGGTTCAAATGTCTGAAGTGTCAGATGCTTGCCTCCCTTAATTATGTCTGACTCTCTTTTCTTCATTACCAGGTTGAAGCCAGCACTGGTAACCTTCCTTTGGCACTGACTCCAAGATCTCAGAGGGACATACCTGCTTCAAAGAAATCCAGTGGCAAAGCCCCCAGTGGGGAATGGAGGCTCTTCAGGCACAGGGAGAGAGAGCTGTCTGTACTGCAGCGCAGTGATGGGGAGGAAGAGGAAGATGAAGAGGGGGAAGCCACAACAGGCCGCAGACTGGGGCTTGTGGCAGGTGTGAAGGATATCCCTGCAGCATTGGCAACAAAGGAGGCTGAGAAAGACCGCGATGAATGTGATGGTCCCTGTGTCATTGCCCCAGAGAGTATCTCCCTCAGTGAGTTGGTGAGGTCAATGCACCCTTACTGTCAGCCCACCTTCGCTGTATGCATGAGTCCTGATAGCCAACCCTTGGCAGAGGAGCTCCTTGCTGGCCCCGTCATCCTGGAAATAGTGCCTGAAGGTGGAGAGAGCATGGAAATTCCAGTAGTCCTGCACAATGTGGAAGCAGTTGAGCTCCCACACAAAACAAATAATAATTATGTCATTGGACGTGAAGATAAAGAGGCAGCTCTGCTGGTTCCCCTCTTGGCAAACACGTCACCCGTAGACAACACTAAGATTGCAGGCCCGGACACACGGCTTTCCTTGGATGAGCAGGCTGAGGAAGTAGACAGGGCTGCATCCCCAAGAGCAGAAGACAGTCATCCTCAAGTAAAAGAGGAAGCTCAGAGATCAGCTGATGACTGGAAGCATGGATCTGAGCCTGGATCAGTTGCACTCAAAAATATAAATCTCATTCCATCAGAGAAGGGCCAGACATGTGGCCGTAGCAAGAAGAAGAGGAAAAAAAACACTAATGGAGCAAAGCGGCACAAAGAGGCAAAAAATAACCTGCAGATTTCTGCTTGTACTGAAGAACAGGCCAGGACAAATGCAGACAGCTCATTCCCAGATGCTGACTTTCCAGAGGAGCAGATGAAGAAAGCTGGAGGCCATGGTCAGAGTGAGTTGTTTGCAGATCAAGAATGCCAGCCAGTGAAAGTCCGGGATACACAGGTGGAAGAATTGTCCACCAGTGAGAGAAAGCCCCCAAATCCTGTTGCACCAAGCTTGGATAATGAAGGTGCTTTGCCATGTATAGATGAACAATCTCGTACTCATTGCGATAGGGGTGCAGACTCAGCAGCTACAGGCCAGGAGGATACACGAAGAGAGCCTGGTGAAGGGAGTCCAACCAACTTGACAGCGAAAGAGATGGCTAACCCAGAAGCTTCCCAGGTGTTCACTAGCAGCTGTATGGATGCTGCAGGGCAGTCTCCTAGGAGCATCCTGTGCTCCAGCAACGAGGAAGCAAAGGAAGCACCAGCAAAAGAAACAAAGCCCAAGCCTCTTAGCCTGAGTGAATATAGGCAGCGCCAACAGCAACGCCGATCTAATGATGGTAGTGCCAGGAGTGTGGCAGAGAACCAGAGTGCTAGCAAGTGGCCCACCCTCCCTGAGCTCCCCACACAACTGGCTGACCTTCCTTGCCTAAAAGTGCCTCCACCACCCACCAAGGTTGCTGTGCCTGAACTTGTGAAGGAGTCTGAGAAGTCTGCTAGCTCCTCCACAACCCCTGCCCCACCTGGCAAAGCATGTGCCAAGTCCCCTTCTGTGTCAACTCCCACTTCAATGCCTGTTCCTCCTTTGCAGCCTGGCAGTGTGACCACTGCTGCTACTACTGCACCTCTCCCAGCTGTGCCCTCACTGCCTAGTCAAGTAGGTGCCTTTCCCCCCATGGGCATGCATGTGCCTCCCCCTCCACTTCCCCCATATCTACCACCAGTCCCTGGGGCTTTTCTGCCACCTCCTCCTGACCCTTACATCTTGGGCTCCCAACCACCACTAGTGCCTTCCTGGTCTCCCTTTGCCTCTCTGCCAACTAACTACCAAAGCTTTCCACCTCTTGCAACAGAGGTTTGCCCCCCTGTTTTTCATACAGTTCCCCCTGTGCCCCCTCCAACGTGGCCGCCTCCACCTCTTCCTTTGCCACCTTTTCCCCCCAGCCTGCCATACAACTCTGCAGAGTGGACCCTTGCACCACCGCCTCCCTTTTGGAATGGTATCCCAATACCTCCCCCAGTGTTGCCCATCCCATATGGGGATCAAGGCACTCTTATTCAGACCCCTCCAGTAGGCACCTTATCTGCTCTTCCTGATGGGGCAGTTGCCCAGCAGAGTTTGCCTTTGACACCTGAGCCCTCTTCCTCAGGACAGCTGGGCTTGGCAACCAAAGAGAAATCAGGCCTGCCTGCTCAGGTGTCTCAAGTGCCACTTCCTGCCACAGTCAAGATTACCTCTAGAAGAGTGTCTGACCCCAGAAGGCAAGCACAGTCCTTGGCTGCTGATTCCAAAGCCGAAATGAACTCAAGCAGCTTTCAGTCGTTGGCAAAAGTGCATCTTCCCCAATCAGCTGTCAGACCTTCAGGGCATGTTGAGAAGAATGCCATCCCACAGGAATCCTATTCTGTGTCTCAATCCCAGCAACCCACAGAATTCACTGGCACACTGAAACCCCCCAAAGAGCCCTCTTCATTGCCTGCCCTACAGCCTACAAAAGCTGTAGGGCAGCCTCTTGCACCCTCTGGCCCTAAGGAAAAGAGCTTTACTTTATCTGCTGCAACTCAGAGTGGCAAGAAGGCTCCACCACCTTCTCATCTCCAAAAAGAGGAAGACTCATCTTTATCTGCTGCCTCTACACAAGAAAAGCTAGCAATGCCAACTGAGGCTTGCATCAAGGAAGCTGCTCAGACAGCTCCCAATTGCCCAGGATTATCAGTGTCCCAGAAGTTGCCTGTGTCTGGCCAGATTCTGAAGAAACCAACAAGTACATGGAAAAAACAGCCTCTTATCAGCATTGCACAGCACAACCGCCATAAAGACACCGTTCAAGCGTTTATCAATGAAGTTGGTGAGTGACTGTGTCACTTTGGGTGTTGTTGTTTCAACTTCTATGCCACCCCATAGTATTAGAAAGCTCTCTTGAGTAGTTTGCAGTACAGTTATGCAAATAACACTTTGCCCCCCCAGAATTCTGATTTCTCTAATTGCTAAAGAATAACTTCAGAAAAATGAAAATTGTTAAAGAATAGCCTTAAAAATGGCAGTCTTATGTCTGAGGAAGTGGACGTCCCTGAAAGCTCACATTAAAACATAGCAGTTAGTCTTTAAGGTGCCTCTATACACTTTTAATTTTGTTTTTGCCTGATAAATTTCAGAAAAAATGAATTTGTTGTCCTAAATTACACTGCCAGTGTGAGGAAAGCTTGGGGCAGAAGTAACCAAGTGTGCATTTATATTTATATTATGTTATACAGATGAGCTTGGAGCGCTGTTCAGTTCCAATGTGCAAAACTAGAGTAATAATTTTTTAAATTATAGGTGTAAGTATTTTGTTCCACATTCTCATTGGTGGATCTCAGATATTCTAGTTATTTTTTTTTAAATCCCCTGAACTCTGTGCAGCTTTGCTGTAATGCAGGGGTGACAATCTTCAGAAGTCTGGGGGCACCATGTACCTATATCTGGTCCTCAGAAGGCCCTTCCCACAACTTCAGTTCCAAAATGTTTCTTACAAAAGGGGCTTTTTTTAAATTACAAAAGCCCCCCATGTATTCTCTAGTAGCCCCAAAATAATAATACAGTGGTACCCCACATAGCGAGGTTAATCCGTTCCGGATTAACCTTCGCTATGGGGAAACATCGCTATACAGAACGAAAAAACCCATTGGAACACATTAAACTTTGTTTAATGCGTTCCAGTGGGGCCCAAGTTCACCGTTATGCAATGTTTCCCCATCAGGCCGCCATTTTTGCGCCCTCGGTAAGCGAGGGCAGGGCGCAAAAACACTGCGTGCGGCCATTTTGGAACCGCCGAACAGCTGATTAAAAAAAATCGCTATGTGAAAATCGGTAAGCGAAACGCTTACCAATCGTTGCAAAGCGAATTTTGGCCATTTAGACCATCGGTATGCGATCGCATTAGCGATCACTAAATCCACATCGCTATGCGGATTCATCATTAAACGGTGCGCTTGTTATGCGAGGCACCACTGTAATTAAAAAATAAGCTGGAGGGACAAAAGTTCATATCAAAATTGCCACCCATACTCTTAGAAGTGAAACTTTTAGCCCAAAAAATAGATTTTAAGGAGGATGCTCTAGAGGTCTCATTTTGTCCTACGGAGGGCCATATATTGCTTACACCTGCTATAAATCTTGAGGACAATCTGGCTCTACCTGTATTGTGCCTGAGATCTGCTTCTATCTTTTCTAATTTCTTCCCCACTCAACTGCTTGTCTAAGCATAGCATTTTAGCAACAGATTAATGTGTTTTGATGTGTATGTGTTTCAAGTGCTCAGCCAGCATCACCAAAGCAGTAGCTCTTTTCGCTTTTAACTTAAGCAAAATTCCAATAGAACTTTGCTGTGTAAAAATGCTCAGGAAACAGTTATAGTGAGCATTTTCTTTGAGCACATCCTGAGTCTGTGAAGCTTCTTATTGGATGTTGTGAAGCACTGACAAGTGTGTGTAATTGATGGTTATTGTCCTTTTCCTTTTCTTTCAGGAATTGAAGCCTCTGACCTGTCCAGTCTGCTAGAGCAATTTGAAAAGATTGAAGGTGAGAAGCTAAACTGGAACAAGTGATTGAGCACTGTGACTCATGTTACCTTGAAGATTCTTCTTTGCCTGGAGGTTTCCTAAAGGTCAAGCGAGTAATTCCCAGTGATGAAGCACTTTTGATTGCTTTATGACTCATTTGGTGATAGTAGCCGAGGCTTACATTCTGCTCTCCTTTTTCCTACAAACCAATGCAACTAGAAGTTGAGTTTCATTTCCTGGCCTGTGTGAAATTATTTTTTATAGTACAGATCCCAGGTCAGCTTCTATAGTCAGATCAGATTTTCTAGATAATGTTCATGGCCATAATTTTCCTTAATCTGTGGCTTAATTTTGCTGTATTAAGAACTGAAAATAGCAGATGCTTTGAAAAGCACCTTAACATATACTCCCTTTTAAAATACTTCATATGTTTCAATTGCCATTGTAGTATTTCTGTATACTATTTGGTAAACTAGCCAGATATTTTTACTTTGTTTAATTATTGATTTTGGAGGTAAGAAGAGGGTTTAAAGAAGTAGGAAGTATAGTCAAACAGTGCAAGGAAGGAAGAGAAGCAGATGCTGTGTGGCCAGAAACCATGGCAAGAGACAGGAAGTTGTACAGGATGTAAAAACTATACCTGCTTCTCCACCTTCATCTCCTCATTTCTTGTTCCATTGTAATCTTTTTAAAGAACTGTCTGCAAACAGATGCTCTGAAGCACACCTTTTGTTTCAAAATAAGGGAAACAGGTTTTTTTTAACAAATTGAATCCAGCGATACAAATCAGGTTAATTACACAAGCTAGATAAGGCTGCAAGGCATGTTTGGGTACCGAGCCCTATGAAGTACTTTATCCATGTCTATTAATGTGTTTGGCTCTCTTCTTTTTGTTTCTTCAGCCAAAAAGGAAACACCCAGCATGGCAAAGTCCCAAGAAAATGTGCCTACAGGGAATGAAAAGTAAGTAGGGGGCTGTGTCGTTGACAAAGTTTAGGGTTTTGCTCTTTTTTTCTTGGTTGGCAAATTGCACTTATATTTCTAGAGACATGGAGAACTTGGTACAAGAGATTTGCTAACCAGAGTGAGGACAGCTTAAGTTGCTGAGGAATATTAGAGGCTGATCATTTTGGTCTTCAGTAGAGATCTGCTCATTATATGTAACATCCTACAAAAAAGCCCTTTTCTCTCTTTCAGCCCCAAGGCACAGCAGGAAAAGAAAATGGTAGACTGGCTTCAAGCACCAGAGCTCACTAATGTTGCAGGTGAAGAGTATGAAATTGTGAACAACTTGTTTGTTGTGACTCCCTTAACTGAAATAGCAAATAAATTCTATCTAGAAATTAGTAGGTAATGTGTGTAGGTGCAGATTGAAATAAGAGGAACTTAACTGTGCATTGCTATTCTTCTTGTCTTAATTAATTTGTCTGTTCTCTGTAGCAATGGTATATTAGTTAACCTCAACGCCCTTGCTGAAGTGTATAGGAACTTAATGTAGACTCATGGTTTTTGTGGGTTTTTCGGGCTCTTTGGCCGTGTTCTGAAGGTTGTTCTTCCTAACGTTTCGCCAGTCTCTGTGGCCGGCATCTTCAGAGGACAGCACTCTGTGCTTCAGAGTGCTGTCCTCTGAAGATGCTGGCCACAGAGACTGGCGAAACGTTAGGAAGAACAACCTTCAGAACACAGCCAAAGAGCCCGAAAAACCCACAACAACCATTAGATCCCAGCTGTGAAAGCCCTCGCGAATACATTAATGTAGATTCATGGTAAAGGAGAGTATATTGTTATGTAGATAGGGAGTAGAAAGAAGTTTCCTTGCCCAAGAGCATCTGAGACCATTGCTCAGATTTATGAGTGATTTGATTTATTTCAACATCTTACGTCTTTTAAAAAATTCAAAGCAGTTTAAACAAAATAAACAAAACGCACAAAATTGTAAAGCAGAATAAAAGATGCACAAGATGGAGCAGCCTTGGGGAAGAAATTGCATTAACTTATAGATTTGATGAAATAAGGTTTTGCAGCAACCTTTTCTGCTGGGATGTGTTAGAGTCAGGGTCCCCAACCTGGTGCTGGTCCGTGGGCATCCCAATCAGGCCGCAGAGATGGATCTCCATCCCACGCGTGAGCGTGGGGGTGCCTCCCATGGAGCTAGCCCCCCCAAACCAGTCCGCAGTTCCAAAAAGGTGGGGGACCGCTGTGTTAGTGCTTTGACATTCCTAGCTGTCACTTCTGGAATCTACCAGAGGGGACTTGGTAGGTGGTCTTATATTGGGATGGATTGGGGAAACAAGAGTATATCAGTTTTCACTAATAGAAAATGATTTCTGTGTTCTTCTCATGAATATCTGTTCTGGTGGTTGCTCCAGTTCCTGAAGGTTGTTTATGTTTGTCTTGCAGGCTTGACCCCTCCAGCTACTCCACCCCACCAGCTATGGAAACCATTGGCAGCTGTCTCACTGTTGCAGAAGGCTGGGTCTCCAAAGAGTGTCAGACTTTTGAAATCCCTGAGCAAGCCTCACAGAAAAGCTCTGACTCCTGTTCATGTGGGTTCTGGCGAGCATGATTATTGTCAGGTCATTGCTGCCCAGCGAAAGGAAGGTGCCCGATGGAATGTCAAGCACAACTTGGATATCACAATCAAGCCTATCAAGACCATGACAAAACAAGTGCTAGAACAGCCAGCTACAAACCAGCATCTTACTACTACCAGAGTGGACCCTGCAGACACTCTCAATATTGCCTGCCAGAATCCCAAAGAGACCCCCAGCCATGCTGATGCTGGTGAGGGACAGGTCAAACCACCTGATCTTGTTGCAGCTGACATGAGCCTTGTCATGTCGGAGGAACCGTTGTTAGAGAGTAGCTGCAAAAGCCCATGCAAAGAGCCATTAGACCACCGGACTAGTACCCCAAGGTCCATGGCTAGGGGCAGCAGTGAATCTTGTTCCGTACTGCTGTCTCCAGCGGCATCCCCCTGCAGGGATGCAGAAGAACCATCACTACAACAGCCTCAGGAAGTTCAGCAGAAGCGTCTAGCTTCCAAAAAGTCCCTGCGGTGCTATCGAAGTAGACAAAAATCAGTTAGTCCCGAAAAAGACGGTTGGAGAGGCCGAAGTAACCGGACCAGCCGGTCTTTCAGCTCCAGCTCAGATGGCGACAGTGACTCCTCCTCATCTTTCTCTTCCTCCTCACGCTCTCGTTCTCCCCCATCAAAGCGCTGGAGAAGGTGGGTGATAGATTCCCTCTTGCACTCCCCCCAGAGCATCCTATTTCCTGTGGTTGTTTTGCTGAGCCACTAAATTGACATGAAATTCCAAAATCTTTGGGCCTCAAGCTGATACTGTTATTCCCAGCATTCATGGCTGAGGGGCTGGCAGAGCAGGGGAGCTAGAAGATTTTATATGAAAAGAACCTGTGATGGATTTCATGTTTTGCACTAGTGGTTCTCAACTAGTGCTGTACATCTGTTGCAGTGTTTTTATAATAATGAAACTGAATTTGCTCTCCTTCAGTCTGCACATTCTCCTGTTTTCTGCTCCTCACCCTATTTGCCACAGCTTATCCATTTGTATCCATTTATTGATGCAACATAGGATACAAAAGATTAAGAACCACCATCCTCACCCTTTTCAGACTTGCTCATGGCTTGAAAGTTTCCAGTGCCTTTCAAAGATGAGCAAATTCTCACTGAGTAATTAAGCTAATATAGTTGTCCTCCAGAGCAGCTTCTGGGTTTGTCTTTTTAACTTGTTTCTTGAGTCTTTGGAAATAATTTATGAACAGCCCTATTGTTTTGGGTCTATAAGTTCTTTCTGTCCTGTTTCTTATACCAGAAGCTGCAAGCTGGATCTGATCGTATCTCTCAGTATGTAACATGCAAGGACAGTGAAGGCTCTTTCTCTCCCTTTACTGGTAACCTATAAAGCCTGCCTGACTTTCCAAATGTCCTTTAAGCCTTTGCTTTTCTTTCTATCACTGTTTTGTATAATACCAACTTGTATTGTTTGTGGTAGGTACCAATGCCCAAACTGCAGTAAGTCTTTCACTGATGATTCCAGGCATGAATGAGAACATATTACAGAGAGAACATACATATATCCAGGATTATAACCAGTTGTGGGTACAAGATACCTGGGACCAGTATGCCCCTTGGCGTACAAGGTGGTATACAACATTAGGATCTAGCAACAAGTATTTTGAAGGATGCTCAGGGCGTCTTGTCCATATGCAGAAATTTGATGTGGTTTGTTTATATGGAAGCCTAAGATCGTGCAGTCTTTGCCAGGCACATAGGCTGAGGATTCCTGTTTACAGAATTTGCTTGGTGGAGGAGCCACCTGATGCCTTGTTTTAAGGAATCTCAACGATGCATTGATCCAGTTGGGCAGGAGCTATAGATGATGGTGGAAGAGGTATGATCAACTGTACAGGAATGGGAGAGCTGGGCCTTCTCTTTCACCCAGTATTGACTTTTCTGAGTGGTATTTTGTAGGGATGCAAAAGTTGTAGGGGGAAGCTTTGTATCTTCAAATGTACATATGTGAATATACACTGGTGCAGGTGTTGCTCCCATTAAGTAAATGTGTGTGTCTATTGTTTACCCTAGATGTCGCTCACGAAGTTCCAGCTCATCTTCCAGTGGACGTTCATGGAGCCGAACAAGGGGCAGGTCCAGGTCGTCTTCTTGCTCCTCCTGCTTCTCAAGATCATCCTCCCGCTCCTCCTCTGTGCACAGAAGGAGAGGACGCAGGAAAAGGTGAGACAGCCGTGTAGCACTTTTTTTCTTATTCTGTTCTCTTCAGCACTGGAATGGATAACCTTCTGTTTTTATTTTCTTCCCAGTAAAATACCTGTTGATGGAACATTTATCCTTGCCATTCCAAATCCATATTAATGATTATGTTTGATTCTCCTTCTGGTGCTGTGGCTTAAATCTGCATTGGGGGGGGGGCAGCATGACATAGCAGAAGAACAATTTAATGGTGATGCACACCTGATTTTCCTTCAGAGATCTTCAAAGGGAGAATTTGATAACTGTTTCTGACAACTCCCGATTATTGAAGACAAATTAGTTCTTTTAGCTGTAGTTAGATGATACTTTCTGGAGAATATTTTCAAATACTGGACAAAACTGAATAAATTATTTAGGCATTTGGGCAGTTTTGCTCATTGTCACGGTGCCATAAAATCCTGATGGACGTAAAATAGCATGTGCTCTTGTGATCTTTTGTTATGGGTGGCTTTTAGAGTACCTACACCCATCCCACATATATATGATCATTGCTTGTAAACTTCTGCAGCCTCATGTATTTCCTATGAGGAGCTCAAGAGTGTTTTGTTTGTAGTTTCACATAGGTATTTGCACTTAAATTGATTGTAACGTCTTAGAATATCTTGGTACTCTCCATCCAAGGCAGTGAGTTCATCCTAGCAGTGCCTTGTTTCCTATATCCATTAACTTGTCTTGTACAACCAACCCCCTCCCTTGTGAACCCCTTGCAGACTGGTGACTCATTGCTCTCTGGGGGCCAAATGGGCTAACAACTGGATTTCCTAAGTGAAAGCTACATACAGACCATCTGTATCTAACATTGCCTTTGAATGATGGTAGCAAAAAAGCACGATTTATTTAAAAAGTGTGTTTTTGCAACTTTGTTGCAACCACTGTGCCACTCAGATTCAGCTTGGCACAATGGCAAAGTTCCACTCCCAGTATGGTGGTGGTGGTAAATCTAAACCTGCTCCACCCCTGGAAAGTTTTCTACCCCAAACTAAATGAATTTGTTCTTTCCATTTGTTGTTTTCTCACAATTTTCTGCAAGGTAATCAAAGTAATAATGCATTTTAAAATGCAAATGTAATCCTAACTCTTTGACTTCTTTTTACAAAATAATACAGATGTGATTCCAGCAGTTCCCGTGAGCGTTACCTGAGGCAGAAAATCAGATACAAAGAGCGTGCAATAGTGAGTATTACTGGGGCACAGTAGCATTATGGGAATAACAGCAAGCCCACAGGGGCTGCCTCTATTCTGACCACTTAAAGCTATCTTATACGACTTTCCTATTCAGGAACAGATAGACTTGCAATCCTTGCACTAATGTTTGAGCTACTATCAATGGAACTAACATTATTGAATTATTGAATCCAAGGGGTTCTTTAAAAGAAGTAGTCACTCCGTTCAGGTGAAAATAAAGGTTGACCTGGGTGGTAGGTGTAGTCTCTAGGTGTAGTATTTTCATTTCTGTAGTGTAAAGTTCTAACAGTCCTGGCTTGTCTGTGTGTTCATATACTCTTAAGTTAACGGAATATACACTGGTTCGTGTGTAGTTTTTGTTTGTAATTTATTTATATATTTTTTTATTTTTTGGCTGTGAAGAAGACTTGACAAAAGTCCTTCAGGCAGACATCCAGAAGAAAGTTCAGGCTAGAGCAGCTTATGCTGCTGCATTTGAAAGAATGGGAGGTGAATTTGCATGACCAAAGGGAAATGGTATTGGGTAGCCTTCCAGTGTTTAAATTGGAGGACATGCAGAGCAAATGTTTGATATATGTGGCATCATACTGTAAACTGGAGGAGTGTCAGAAAGAATTCTTCAGTTTCTAGTCACCTTCACTGTGCTCTATAGCCATATACAGTGGGGTCTCTACTTAAGAACGTCCCTACTTAAGAACAATCCAACTTAAGAACAGCTCCATTTGCTAAATTTTGCTTCTACTTGAGAACAGAAATCCAAGATAAGAACAGGAAAAAAAACCTTTCCTGCTCTTTTTTTAACCTTAGGTCATCTTAGGTTAAAAAAAATTTCTCCCCCTAGTGGTAGAGTACGTATTAACCAGCTTTGCATTAGTTTCTATGGGAACTAATGCTTCAATGTACGAACGCACCTCTACATAACAAAAAAACAGCCAGAACGGATTAATTGGTTTTCAGTCCATTCCTATGGGAAATTTTGCTTCAACTTAAGAACGTTTCAACTTAAGAATACCATTCCAAAACGGATTAATTTCTTAAGTAGAGATTCCACTGTAGTTTCTATGGACAGAAAAGAGCAGATACGGATTAAATGGTTTTCAATGCATTCCTATGGGAAATGCAGATTCAACATAAGAACTTTTCAACTTGAGAACCACCTTCCAATACGGATTAAGTTCTTAAGTAGAGACCCCACTGTACTAGGAAACATTAGCAGATATAATTCTTCAGTAAAGTTTCCTTAGTGATGCAGGGGATAATGTTTTTTTTCCCTTTTAAAGAATGTGCTGCATAGGTGGGCAACAAGAATATGGCTTTCTGATAGATCTGTACCTGGGTTAAATTTCCTTATAATTGTGTGAATAGGAAGAACGTCGTGTTGTTTTCATTGGCAAAATCCCCAGCAGGATGACACGTTCAGAGTTGCGACACCGTTTTTCCATTTTTGGGGACATTGAGGACTGCACACTGCATTTCCGGGAGCATGGGTAAGAAGTGGACCCACCCTTTCTATGATTGGTGTGGAAAAGTTAATAGAGATATGTTTCTTTTGCTGTCTTCTAATAATCAGATTTGCGGTATCAAGCAAAGCTGAATAGTAAAGAAGGTGAAAGAAAGTGTACCTTTAGATGAGTCCACAGTTAAACTGTGGAATTGGTTGTTACAAGGTATAGTCATGAGCCTTCCTTAGAAGGCTTTTAAAGGAGATTGATGGAGGATGCTCCATGGAGATAGATACTAGTTGGGAAAGCTATAAATCCACGTATCACCAGTATTTGTCGATATAGTCTGGGCAGTAAAGGCAAAGCCTCCCACTAGAAATGTCTTTAAAACAAGTCATTCTGGAGGACACTGCATAGGGTTAATACAGAGAGAGATGAGTGGAAAGTGCAGTTGGAGCATGTAGGTGTATACTTTATCCTTTTCAACCCTCCCTTATCCTTTGTTCCCTGCTGGACGTGTCCTGTCTGTAGAGTCTTAACATCTTCCGTATCCTACCTGATAGGGATAACTATGGCTTTGTGACATACCGCTATGCTGAAGAGGCCTTTGCTGCCATAGAGGGTGGACACACGTTGCACCGCCCAGATGAGCAGCCTTTTGACCTGTGCTTTGGAGGACGCAGACAGTTCTGTAAAAGGAACTATACTGACTTAGGTGAGTCTGTGGAGATTACTTGAGTATGAGCATATGTAAATTAACTTTGCATTTTCTTTTGGGTATTGAACGGCCAAGAGTATTTAAACCATTGGTATATTTTTGTGCAGGAAATTAACACCCTACTTAATTATATTCCTGCTGATTTTTTACATTCCTATCATCACGGTTCTCCATTATGGATGGACGTGACCCCATGCAGTTCAAACATGTAGTTGTAGGTTGGTCCTGAGCATCTCAAGCAATGTTATTTGTTTTTTGTCCCAGTTGTTTGTCTGTGCTGGTGGATCATTGTATCCGGGTGTTCTCCTGGGCATGATTAGATGTTTCTATTCCATTGTAAATTATTTGCTTGCTAATTCTAATTGACTGAGGGGTGACTGTTCTTATGTTTTTCAGACTCTAACCGAGATGACTTCAAGCCTGTCTCTGTGAAAAACAAGTTTGATGACCTTGACTTTGACACCTTACTGAAGCAGGCTCAGCGGAATCTGCAAAGGTAACGCTGGCTCCTACGGGCTCATTTTGCCCGGTAGGCATTTGCCTACACCAGCCTTACCTCAGATGCGCTGCAAGGGCAGGTGTCCCCCACCTCCCCAGGCCTAGCTGCTATGTCCAGCATGGTTTTTGTAATGAAATATGACAAAAATCCAATAAACAATTTGTACCCTGTTTTTCTAAGGACTATTTAAGACGGAGAGAAAAAAATGTTAGTAGGAAAGAAGAGCGGAAGAAGACCAGGCACCTTCAGTTTGCTTAATCACTATGCAGATAATAAACTTTAACCATACAACTTACCAAATCTGCTACAGTTTGTCTAACTATGTCTGTTCATTGCAGAGGTAGAAGACATCAGGAAAGAAACCTAGCAGTATATTTTCCTCAGCTACCTTGAGGCACCCTGCTTGTCAGACAGAGGCCTTTAGCGGGCATGTTAGGTGTCCAGGAATTAACATTCAATACATTTTGAAGTATTTTGGTAATTTACAGTGGTGTTTATCTTTTCTTTTGATCTAGAGTTGAGGAACCTCTGGTTTGCAGGCCTAGTGTGTCTAATAAGCAGCCAGAATCTAGCCTTCTAAGGTTATTGTTCATTGACTTGCTGGTGTGAGGGTGGCTTTGGAAAGATCCCTGCAACAGTTCATTGATCGGAGATATACTGGAGATCCCATCCTCCTCTTGAAAGATTGTGAAGATGGGGTGGGGTGGGGGAAAGTGCCGTGTCATCCAGTTCCCGCACCAGTCACCCCAGCAGTCTCTGTTGGGAGGATGAGGAATATCACGGCTCTCATCTAGTGAAGCTGTTCCCTTGGATTAAGTGCCTGGAAAAGCAGCTGTACCTGATGCTGCAAAGAAACCAATCACATTAAGGCGCAAGGCCACGCCCTTGATGTCAGGAACATAGCCATACCTCCTGATTTCCTAAGTACTGCGGATGGCTTGCAACGAAATGTTAAGGAATTTAACTTCACATGCTATTTCATTCCCTTACCCATGCTCCTGGTGCCTTTAGTTGGTGCATGTGTGAGTGAATGGCTGATTGAGAGAGATTGAAATACCAGCTGGAGCATTGACTTTGCTGTCTAATTGGTCCCAGCGTGCATTTCCCAGGGCTATTAAAAGAGTGGACGCTCAACTTGGTTCTGAAAGGCTAGAGACTCCATGCAGTGAATACTCTGAGCTATCATCAGATTTGTATTGGGTGGACTCCTTTGTTTTGCTTATCCAGAACCTCTGCCTGTTGCCACAGCTTGTATTTGTATCCCATGCGGTTTCACAATAGACTTCTCCCTTCTCCTTGAGTAGATCCATGTGAGGGAGGTTTATTATGTGTATAGTTACGATTAAGGATAGATGTCCTTGATTAACTCAAAACTTAGTTTCAAGGTAATTAATTTTTGCTAGAGAATTTATGTCAGACAATGTGATTGCTTTTAAGACATGTTGTTTACAATACTTCTAGCATCTATGATCTCATTAAGCAGTGTTTTTTAAAATTCTAAACATAACTGCAACCGCAAAGAATACAAATATATTGTTTTCTTTGCACAGTTTAGCACCCTGAAGATTTCCTGCGCTCCTGTTCAAATCCAGCATATGCATAGATAGATTTACTGTCATATGTACTTACCTACACTTCAGCCATATTGCATTTATCAGAATTGAACCTTTGTTTGCCACTCTATCTATGTACTGACACACACTCTCGATAGTGGGCTAGTATGATCAAGGGCCTATGAGAGTCACATTGAAATTCATATTGTGGAATAAATGTTAAGAATATGTTAAGAATAGATGTTAAGGAGAAAGTTATCTGGAAGCTGAGTCATAGCAACTGGACTTCTTTCTTACGAGGGGGTGCTGATAAGTATTAAGCCTTTCCCAGAAAAAAGTAAGCTAGGAAGCTGTAACTGCCACACTATTATTCTACATATTCCCCCAGGAGGTCAATGCACTTGCTACATCTGCCCTGCAGTTTCTTAAGTCCCTGCAAATAAAATTCTTCCGACTGCTGGTGTAACCACTCATTTGCAGCATTAGTTGCCTCCAGAACACTCCCAAATCATCCCTTTAGGTGTTTTTTTCAGTTTGGGGAACAGATAATAGAAGGAGCCAGGTCGGGAGAATAGGGTGGATGGGGCATCACTTGAAAGCCTAAGGAGGTCAGTTTTGCCATTGTTTCACCTGCAGTGTGTGATGAGGCATCATGCAACAGGATGACACCTTTGGAGAGCTTTCCTCGATGTTCTTGATGTTTTGCCTCGACTTTCTCAATAAAGCACAGTAATATTTTGCATTGATGGTTGAACCCTGTTGGAGGTAATCCACGAGCAGAACTCCCTTCTTATCCCCCCAAAATGTTGCCAGTTGCTTCTGCACCGACCTTTGCACTCGGAACTTCTTTGGCCTGGGGGAACCACTGTGCCTCCATTCCTTAGACTGTTCCTTTGTCTCAGGATAACAGTAGATCCATGTCTCATCACCAGTTACCAGTTTGCCCAGGAAATCTGACTCATTTCTTGCAAAATGTTCCAAAAGAGCCACCGATGACTCCACACGTTTCCTCTTTGGTTTGGTTGTCACAAGTTTGGAGATCCACTTTGCTGCCAGCTTTCTCATTTCCAAGTCGTTGTGGATAATGGCACCAACTCTCTCACATGATATTCTCAGACATATAGCAATACTTTTGGCTGATGTTTGGCAGTCCTCCATGTTCATGTAATGAATGGTTTTAAGATTTGCAGGCACAGAGACAGAAACAGGCCTTCTACCGGCTCACTTTCAACACCGAAATGGCCAGTTTTAAATTTGACTACCCAACGTTTAACTGTTGCATATGATGGGCCACTGTCACCCATTGTTTGTGACATTTCATCAACTCTACTTGCAGATAACCTCACCTGGATGACAGAATCTTCACAGTTAAGGAGAGAGGTACATGTATTCTGCAAGCTTTTACACTTTGTTCAGGAGAGAAGCAGCATGAGCATTCTGGTTTAGCCAAGAGCAGTAACCTACAAACAGGCAATTAATTTGTTGCTTGGATACTTCCAGCAACTTCTGTGAAGCTGCCTATCGGAGATTTCTACTTTGACAAGTTGGAGCAAGTGGCAGTGGCCTCATTCACCACTTGATGGCACCATGCATAAATCAAAGACCAGAACAACCACTGAAGTTACAAAGAATAATATATGCAATCCATGCTCTCCGAACCCTTTCCTTGTAACTCAGAGCAATGTGTCAGTCAAGTGGTAAAAAAAAGTGGGAGATGGTTCATGTAAGTGTGCTGCATGAAGAACAAAATGCCTTTTCAGAAAAAAGAATAAGATTGCTGGCTGATTGCTCCTAAACTCCTTTAATTTATCCTTGGTGCATGCCTGCCTCTGCACCTTTCTAATTTTTGTCTGAGCAACTGTGCTATGTGATATTCACAGTAAGGGGCAGACAGGCGGGCGGTTTAGCCCCCCCAAAAAACCAATTGTTCATTGTCTTGGAAGGCGTAATCCATCAACTAGAATTCATCTAGAATGATTTTTATCTGGGAGACAAATTAAAACTACATTTTCCCCCAGCTACATACACTCTTGCAAGAAAAGAAACAAAAAAGAGGGTGTGGTAATTATTTGTAAAGAACCTAAAGGGCTTGATAAATATGCTCTATAAGCTAACTCGATTGCCCCCAAACCCAGATTTCCAAATAAAATATTTCAGAATGCAGTATTAAATAGTATTTTTCACTTTTATACCGTACATTTGTAATTCGACTGTGAGAGACCAACTGACTGCAAGTTCTATTGCATGTTTCCTGGTGCTGTGGCCCTACCAAATATTTGTGAGTACACCGAGTTTGGGTGCCCTCTAGTGTTTTTACGGAGAATCCTGAAAACAACAGTGTTGAGGACATATCGTACAGGGGCTTTAATATAATATTGCAGTGCGGAGTGTTTATGTTCAGCTAGCTACAGTAGTGAAGGACACTCCTTTCTGCTTGCTCTCTTGATTATGTTTCTCTTTCCTATCCTGTGGCTCCTGTGCATGCACAGTCTTCACTGGATTCCTTGAAAACCTCGGAATTCTCCTAAAGTTGCTTCTATCTTGCTACCCTGTTTCCCTGAAAATAAGACAGGGTCTTATATTAATTTTTGCTGCAGAAATGCATTAGGGGTTTATTTTCAGGGGATGTTTTATTTTTGTCATGTACAACCATCTACATTTATTCAAATGCAGTCCTGTCATCTTCTGGTTGCTGCACAATGGTGGAGGGCAGGGTTTCACTTAACTAGGGCTTAGTTTTTGAGTAGGACTTATATTGCGAGCACCCTGAAAAATCATACTAGGGCTTATTTTCATGTTAGGTCTTATTTTAGGGGAAACGGGGTATGTATGGATAGTGTTTATTGTTTTTTACTGCATAAAGATCAGCAGTTATATAATAGAGATCACTATTAGCATGAGTGATGGATGAATGGTGTAACAGACACAGATTTAACAAAGACAGTAGTCACAGTGTTTACATGAAATGTATGAGCCTGATGGGGTCAACAGGAATGTGACCATAACTTCTTTCTCTTATAATAAACCAGCTGACTGGCCCATATAGCGCAATACTGACAACAGTGACTTGCCTCAGATATCTAGGATTTCAGTCAGGAGCCTTTCCTAACTCCAGCAGGAAGTACTTGCGATTGAACCTGGAACCTTCTGTGCACAAAGCATGTGTTACGGGATTACCCTAGCCATCCATCCACCTTCTCTGCTGACTTTACACATTTGTAACACATTTGAGGTGATAGTCTGTATTCTTAAGCCTATACTGCAGTGGAGATCCTCTGGCTCATGTTCAGATGCAACCTGCACTGTGTTCCCATCCATCCCACAACCTCCTTAGTCTTCTTCCCTGTTGGCACCTCATTGCTTGCATGCTGGGCTATGAGAAAGCAAAGCCTTTTTGCTCTCAGAATGTAACTTGGCAACTCTCTGCCTCAGTGAATCAGACAGTGGTGAACGTAATGGCAATTCAGCTTTTTAATTCTACCTTATGATGAACTCTGTGTTGTCAACATGGACTTGAAGTTCGGGTGCACTAGTGTAGAAGGTACAAATCAGACAAAGATGTAACCCTTGAACCTGTAATGTCATCTTTCTTAGAAGTCATCCCTCTGCCCTCAAACTAAAATATGCTATTTTCTTTACTATTGATATTCACCAGAGAGATAAAACTCCTAATTATTTATCTGTACTGTAGTCTTTTTCCCCTTTGTAGAACTGCCCCATATCCCTTCTTAGTTAATTATAT